GCTGATGTGACACAAAGCACTGACGTTACACAAAGCTCCAGTTCCTCCCAAATTAAAATCATATTAATTCAACACAAAGGTAAAATCCTGACCATGCTAGGTGGCTAATGCTACCAAAACAAACACGTTAGCTTTAAATGCTAATACATCCAGAAGGATGAACGCCGTGCAGACGGCTGATTTAAACACTGGAAGCCCAATTTACAAGCTGGAATAACAACAGGAAGGGGGGGTAGCTGAGAGACACCATGTCCTGTCCCACTGTCACTGGGTCTATCAGACAGTGGGGGGAGTCTTAGTTAATGCACCTTAGAGGTTTAAAGCCTGATATTCATCTTTTTATAATCATTTAATAGCAAATGTCTAGTGACTTAGAGCTCCCACTTCCATCTGGGGCCCATTTTAGATGGAGTACAGTCAGTTTGTTTTTTGTCCATTGTGATGTCTGTGCTGCTGCTGTGGGGAGGAGGAAGGAGTGTCTAAATCGAGGCTGGTGGTTGGCTGGCGGTTAAGGCCCTGCAGTAGCCAGTCAGAGCGACAGTCAGAACAGCAGTGACCCCTGACTGAAGTCCAGGCTGATAGCAGCTACTTTCAGCAGCCAGACACCAGAGGCACCTTATCAGGATCAGTCAGGGCAGCAGGAGTTGATCTGGGAGACTCTGCTCTGAGAATAATGGAGAAGTGAAAAGTCTGAGGATGTTTAACAAGCAGAAACGTTCACTGAAGCAAAAGGAGACATTAATGAGACCTGTGTGAAGGGATGTGAAGAGGTGCACAGAGACAGTGTTGATTGTTTAAAGATCGTGTATCACCACCAACACATCACCTGCTTCTTATCAATATGTGCAAGCTTCTGTTCACAGCTGCTGACTCAGCAAGTTAACGCTAAGTGTCAGAGATTACGGTCAAATTATTCAAATCTTTGAATAAGAAATAAAGCAGGAATAACCTCTTTACAGGTTAAATATTTAATTGAGAAACTTATCTCCAAAACCTTAGTTATCATTAAATAGAGGACATTCTTTCTGGGAAATAAAAAAAATCCATATTTGTAAAAAAGAAGCCACAATTCTGCATTTAATTCAGTTTGGAATGAATGCAGGTTTCAGTCCTGTCAGAAGTTACTTACTAAATCGTTATGAACGTAGATTTGATTACATTGTTCTTTGGTTTGTCCAGCCCAACAGCTGTACGGTGTAACTGATCATAGTCCTAGTGCAGTACTACCACAATTTGTGATGTTACTTTAAGAAGTATGAGATAAAACCCTTTAAAGAATGAAGCCCGAGCTCTCAGATGTTAAATGCTGAAAAATGAGCAGATGAAACTTCAACTAAACAAAATATAACCTTAAATTTTAATTGAAAGCAGTAAATATCTGTTGAAAGGCTGAACTGAACGGTGACTTGTAGGACCCTGCACAGGTTCACCACACAGCTACAGAGGTGTTAGCTTAAAGCTGTTCAGGAACCAAATAGCAAAATAATGTTCTATTTGTTTGTGGGTTTTTCTTTTTCATGCAGTTTGTCTGCCTCCTGTGTGTTTTTGTGTGCCTGTTTAACATCAGTCTGCTCAGGGAGAATCAGTACGTTTACTCCCAGTGACGTGCATTGCCCCCACAGAGGTCATCCCCACTGACAAGGTGGAGGTGGGCTTCAGGGACGTGGATGCTGCCATCCTGGTGGGCTCCATGCCCAGGAAGGAGGGCATGGAGAGGAAGGACCTGCTGAAGGCCAACGTGGCCATCTTCAAGACGCAGGGAGCCGCCCTGGACAAGTACGCCAAGAAGACTGTCAAGGTGACGCTTGGGTCTCTTTTATTTGATTCATCTGTTAAATTGATCTGCTACACCAGAGGAGGTCTGTTTCCCACAGCTGATGAGCACAGGAAAATGAAAGTGCTGACACAGCAGTTCCTCTCCCCAGATAAAAGTCTGTCCTTTAACAGAGCTGAATGATGCTGCTGTGTTCCACCGCCGACTGTAAATGCTCTGACCTGGAAAAGAGCTGTGGGAGCAAAGTTCCTCTCAGTGTGTGTTGTGTAACTTGTTGTAATGCCTCCAGTGTGCAAACCAGCATCAGAGCCTCTGATGACCCAACTCGGTTGGTTTCAGTGACGATGAGGAGGAGGAGTGACGATGTCCTGTTTGTGCCTGACTGGTTGATGAAGCAGAGACGATGTCGGCCTGATGGGAGTGACTGTTCTGTTTCACCCTGTCAGGTTCTGGTGGTCGGAAACCCAGCGAACACCAACTGTCTGATCGCCTCCAAGTCTGCTCCATCCATCCCCAAGGAGAACTTCTCCTGCCTGACCCGACTGGACCACAACAGAGCCTGCTCCCAGGTGCACACACGTTCGTGCTCTTCACCCTCATGTTCACTAACAGTTCACAAAGTCACATTTTTAATATTTCCCTATTAAAACAGTCGTATGTTCATAAGTGAACTGGTTTATGTCAGACCTGTGTAAAATCTGCCTCCCTGCTGAAGCACAGCGCGCTGTGACTCACTATATCATCACAGTAAAACCTGGTTGTAAATGAGGCAGGTCTGCAAAGTGCTGTATGAGGAAGGAAGTGCATTAATCGTGTTTATTAGAGCTCAGGGATACACATGGTGTGTTTTGGTCTGTAGCGCTGAATGTGAACATAACTGGTCGTTTGAGGAAACTCCACGGAGCACCTTTAACAGGAGTCCTACTCGTTGACACCGTTGCTGTATCCCTCCCTCTCCTGCAGGTGGCCATGCGTTGCAGCGTGTCCTCTGACAGCGTGAAGAACGTCATCATCTGGGGGAACCACTCCTCCACCCAGTACCCCGACGTCCACCACGCCAAGGTCAACATCCACGGCTCAGAGGTGAAGGCCTACGACGCTGTGAAGGACGACGCCTGGCTCAGAGGAGACTTCATCTCAGTGAGTGCTCCCCACTGTGTTTGTGTAATGTTAATATTTCTGGGGTGACATTTGCATTAATCACACTGCAGAGAAGGACAGAAAAGATCAGGGAGCTCTTCTGCCAGTCTGGATTATTCCACTTGGTTCTTGCAGGTTTGTAGCTTGTGCTCAGTCTGAGGCCTTCTCTTCCTCCTGCAGACGGTGCAGCAGCGTGGTGCAGCTGTCATCAAAGCCAGGAGGCTGTCCAGCGCCATGTCAGCTGCCAAAGCCATCTGCGACCACATGAGGGACCTCTGGTTCGGCACCAAGGAGGTCAGTGTGGGCTCTGAATGTTCCCGTTTGACCATGGCCCAGGCCACACTGGGTTAGATGGAAAAGGTGTAACCTGTAGACACAGGAATGTGTCAGGGGCTCAGGATTCAGACTCCTAAATGAACAAACAGGAAGTGAAGTAACTTGTTTGTTCTTATATTTCACTGAGACTTTACCTGAGTAAACTATTATGGCCGCAGTCTAACCACAGCGTTAAAAGACAAAGGCCCAGATGTTAGTGCATCAAAACAGTTTATCAGCTGTTGGTCTTGAGAAGAAGTTCATTTAAACTCAGCAGACATTTGTTGGAATGATCCTTATTAATATATGCCAGTAATTTTTCCTGAAGCTGCTTTGACTTTAGTGTTAAACCACACATTTAGTTTAATTAACTGTCAGGATGGAAAAGGCTGTGTGACAGGATTTACAGGAGACTGTCGATTACAACCAGTTTGAGACCAGGAAGATGATTACACAAAAACATAAGTGGTCTCCCTAAAGCTGTGGTCGGGAGGTGAACCACAGACTCCACAGTTCCTGACTTTTATTTTGAAGTTGCTGCTGGACATGTTGTTGACTGTTGTGCTTCCTGTTGACAGGGCGAGTTCATCTCCATGGGTGTGTACGCTGCCGGAAACTCCTACGGCATCCCAGAGGACCTGATCTACTCCTTCCCCATCCAGATTAAGGTGAGCTCATCTGATCAATCACCAGATCACGCAACAACATGAGGACACGGTTATTTTAACTGTTGATTTCCAGCATAATGCTGCTGCTGTGCTGCAGCCTCTGTAACGACCCAACATGACTCACGGACTCCCTACCTATGGGGACGACTACCGCTGGCATCTACAAATGCACAAAGCCGCATTCGAGGCATTTTTCCTGTTAAATGTGTCTGGAATATAAACTAAACGTGCTCCTGGCCTTTCCCTCTGCCCCCCTCTCCCCACAGGGCAAGAGCTGGAAGATTGTTGACGGGCTCCCTATTAATGACTTCTCCCGTGCCAAGATGGATGCCACAGCAGCAGAGCTGGTGGAGGAGCGAGACACTGCCCTGGACTTCCTGTCCCAGTGACTGTCGCCCCCTGCTGGCCCACAGCAGCATGTAGATCCCCTGAAGGCCTGCTGCTCACGGCTGTAAACATGAAGCTCTCCACTATTATAACCACCGTAGCTGGTGTCTGTGTGTTACCTCTGTGTGTGTGTGTGCATTAAAGTGTGTATCACTAGGCCACCTTAAGAACCATAGCCTGGCCTCCTCTGTCTGCACGGCCCTGAGAGGATGTCTCTGTTGGTAGACGATAACACACAGCAGCTGTCCAGAAACTGTAATGGAACATGTCATCACCAATAAAACAAGGAAACTGACAGGCCACACTGTTGTGTGTCTTTAATGTTTACAAGTCCACCAGATGTATTACTTCATTTATTTTAGTTACTTAACCTTCTTCTAAGCAGGAAGTCTTAGAGACCCAGTGTAAATTACAACATAAGATAGGCCACATTGGCTGTTTCTCCAGTTTCCTGTATGTTCATTACTACGTCCTCGACCGAGGGCGTTCCTCTTCTATGGCCTCTGAGGGATGAGGCGGCTGCTGGAGGAGCCGTGCACGAGGATACACCAGACCATCCTTCATGGAAGCCTTTTTCTGATGGACCAGCCTATGTGACCAGGACTAAGGTGCAGGTGAGGGAAACCACGACCCTTATAAGAGACCTGAGAAACACATCGTTGTAAATGAATATATACAACAGTCATATGCAAAAACAAGAGACGAGAGAAGAAACTTCACTTGAACTTAACTTAAAAACAATTATACTCGAGACATGAGTGCCTGATATGAAGGCAGCCTCTCCAGCTGAAGCCCAGGTGAGGAGGATGCAAATGCAGTTTAAGTGGTTGATTTCTGAACAGACCGTATAGACACTGAAATCTGAAAACCTCGACCAGTACATTTTAGGGTTAAAAGTAATTACTCCAATGCAAACACTGAAATCCTATCAGAGAACTGATGGTTCAGGACCTGTTTCCAGCTGCCTGTATTTTAAATGGCTTCTGTTTTTCACTTTAACCACGTGGCTGCAGCACTGACCCAGGCTCAACAGAAATGATACCTGAGGCGGTAGTTGTGGAGTTTTATTCTATTTATTCATAACTTCAGGGGCTTTGGAGCAAGGTTTATAGGGCTAACTGCTGCAACCCCTTAGCAAATAAGGACAATCATACTTTGTAAATGATGCAACACCTTGGTAAATAGAATGTTCTTCTGGTCAGGCATGGAGCTTCTTGGCTGACAGCAGGTTAGCTGTAGTTTATTCAAGTTCAGTATTTACTTTATGTGCCCATCTCCTGTGTTTGCTGAGACATTGTGAGTAATATAGAATGTACTACAGACTGTGTCCTGATACAGTTCAGTCTGTTAATACTTTAACGCCAATTTGCATTTGTGTATTCTGGATTGAACTGAAGCACAATGACGTTAATCACAAAACAGTTTTGTTTCTTAAAAATCGGAAGAAAATTTGTATTTAAATGCAATGAAATAATATAAGTAGTCATATGTGAGTGGGCTGGACATAGCGGCAGAGTGACGGGCCTCCTCGGCCAATCACCGAGCTGCTTTAAAAGCCGTGAGTGCTACGTCATTACGCTGTAGGCAGCACGTTAGGCTGGTTGTCAGCTACCGAAACCAGCCACAAGAGGAAAGCGCTGCAGCGGCGTTGATCCGTTCACATCTACTTTCATGGTCCTAAAACGGAGTCTTCCGGGTCTGAGCTCTACTTTATCCCTTTACTTTACCCTGAGGTTGTCCTTGTTGTCCTCGGGTGCATTTTTCACACCGTCCCTGTACTTTGACAGTGTGTTCAGGTGGGTAATGGCTTCGTCAGTCAAACCCGTGACTGTGCACGAAAAGTGCGTCAACAACAAGTGACACTATTGTTTGCAGTTTTGGGGAGGATGTAAATGAAAAGAGCAACGAGACATGTGAGCTGCTGGCATGAAGCTGCTTCTGGCCTGTGTGTGCATGTGTGCGTGTGCTACACAACGTGTCACCAATAGCCTACACACAAACTACACCTAAAATCACTGTTTGGGGTTGGACAGCTATATTTTTATTACCAGTTAACTGACATTTTATAGGTTTATTGATCTATTTTTGTTTTGTAAGAGTCTTTTCAGTCAGACTATGCCAAATATTCTGATTCCAGCCTCTCGAGACCATTTCCTGCCTTTCTTTGTCATAAACCAAATATTTGGAGGTTTTTAACTTTGAACAAACTACTACACCTGAAGACGTGACGTGAAGGTGTGATGGACACATGTTGACATTTCAGGTCTAGTTACAAATAAAAAGCTAAAATATGATGGAAAATGGCTCCTGGAGAGTTGGCTGGACAAAGCAAGCATTCAGGAAATATTAATTGATATTTTATAATTACAGAAATAATCATCAGGTTAACTGGTAATGAAAATAACATTAACAGCCCTGTACAATTGCAGGTGCCAGTGATAAGTTAGAAGTCTAAGGTTGTCATATGGTCTCATTTAGGTGCCGTTTTGAGGCTTTAAGGAGGTGAAACAATCTGTGTTACCTAAAAAGTAAGAATTAGAAATTAAGTTACAGAACTCTCAGAAAGAAGGAGCTTTAATTTATTGTGACATGTACAACTGTTTGGTGCGCGGGGGCCCGGGGTGGATAGGGGGGGGGGGGGGGGGTTCAGTGTCTTGCCCAAGGACACTTCAACATGTTGACTACAGGCACCGAGATTCGAACCCTCAACTTCCTGGTTGGGAGTCAACTGCTCTACCCACCGCACCACTTGCTTTAAAAATAAACTACAATGAATTAAAGTAGAGTTAGTGTGAGTCATGAGTCGCATGTGATCCTTAGTGCACAGCTGTGACACATTCAAGTGAATGTAAATATAGTGAACACAGAACTATTTGTCATGTTGTTGCTGATGCACTGAAGGCCCCTGACCTTTGACCTTTCCATGCAGGCATAAAGGTCACATCATAGCCTCAGTGAGACAGATGTTACACCTGCTTTCAGAGCACCAAAATGACCTGAACAGTTACTGTGACCATGGAATAATCAGATATGAAGTCAAATAAAGAAACTGAAGGACACTAAAAAAACCTTAGAAAAAATCAACTGGACTTCAAGTTCTAGATCGATTTCTAGATCGATTTCTAGATCCCAGCCACTGGTTCCGATACGTAGATGACACATGGGTTAAAATCAGGACCCAGGAGGTAGAGGCTTTCACCAAGCATATCAACTCTGTGGATGACAACATCAAATTCACTCGTGAGGATGCCAGAGATGACTGTCTGGCCTTTCTGGATTGTACAGTCCACTTGGGAGGGGACAGAAGCCTGAAGGTAGAAGTATATCGGAAACCTACACACATGGACCAGTACCTGCTTTTTGACTCACACCACCCACTTCAACACAAACTGGGAGTCATCAGAAC